TAGTTAAATCTGGGATGCAACGAAGAGTGATTTAACCGAATAGCCAAATACCAAATGTTAACAGAAAAGGAAAAAAAAAGAATGCCAAATATCGGATAGACAAATAACAACATTTTTTTCAAATCTTCAATAAATATTATTTTTTATGTATAAATAAGTTCAGTCATTATTAAAAAATAATCAAATCTTAGCCATATTTTTGGAATGGGATACAGAGAAAAAACTATAATAGAAATATTAAGACAATGAAGATAATTAAACATTAAGAAATATTTGAGATAAATAAAAAAAAATGACTAGCAGTTACTGAAGAAAAAAAAACATAGTTAAGCTGAAAAAAAAGAGAATTAGAAAAAAATATCCTCTTAATTCTTAAAACAATATTTTAATGCAAAAAATAATATTTTCTGGAAAAAAAAAGCACCCATAAAACGTTTAAAGATATATAGTTTATCAGAAAGACTTTTAAGAATGCCGCACTATTATTAAAATGTCTACAAAAAAAACGATACATAGAAAAGTAAAATAAAAAAAATAAAAAACGATCCTAGTTTTTTAAAGAAAAATTTAAAGCTAAACGTCAGTTTTCCATTCACATTTATTTTCAAGAAAAAGTTAAGAAAAATGAATAAAACTCATTAGAAACTCTCCGTTAAATTGCTGTGCTATAATAAAAACAGAGAAACAGCAAAAACGAAGCAAAAATTAACAGAAAAGTTCGTAACAAAAAAATTCCTAAAACAAAAAGTTCGGAAAAAACGACGAAATTGGCTTGCCTGAATGTAATAATAATAATAATAATAATAAATCCGCCGTACAAAGCTTATAGATCAGTATAAAGTAATTTAGTTTCAATTTTTCAAATTGCATTTTTCCATTTGTCTTTCAGAACAAAAAATAGCAAGTTTGAGAACTTAAATATGAGTAAAAACTATTTCTAAAAATGAATAGTAAAAAATACGATTTTAGATTATTCTTCACTAAATCTACTCTAATCCTTAAAAGAAAGAAAAATTGTCCCAAAATACATTTCCAAAAAATACTTTTCGAATATTTGGCCAAACATTCGGCCAACCGAATATTAGGCTGAAGGGCCGAATATGCCGAATACGGAATTTCGTTACATCCTTAATTGCTACTTCTTTAAAAAGAACACAGAAAAAGAATAAATGATAATTTGAAAGCACATTTATGCTAATTTTTTTTCCGATTTTAATTCTTAAGTTTTAAACCCTCAAAGCGTTGAGCCTTTTAAGGTATCTTTGTATTAAAATATCCCTGTTACTCTCTCATACGATAACAAGGGAGAAAACGAGGCTTTGATGCAAGAAAATTTGCAGCTAAAATTCGGAAAAGCCGGGATAAGCGCTCAGAGGGTTACAACTAGGACTGGGCGATAATAGAAATTATCTATCGTACAACACAATATTCTGGAGTTTTTAATTTGTTAATAGCATACGGTTGTCGCATGAGTTCTAGAGCGTGTTTGGAATCGATATTTGTTTTTCGTTTTTTTAAGAAAAAGTAATTTTCGTTGGAAAAAAATCGGGGAAATAAATAAAGACTCGTTTGAGAGATGATTTATACTAATTGTTATTATTATTATTATTTTTTCGGTTGAATTCTATAAACGTACATGGATATTTTTATTGAGGTTGGGTTGATATGTTAACAATTTTAGAATTCTGTAAAATGTAATTTAAAACATATTTTTTCGTTATTTTCAGTTTAAAATAGACACCATATATATTATTACTTTTAGAAACAGCAATTTTGTAAATCAGGCATTTGTAATTTTTATTGTAAACAAATTTTCGCTATAATTTTAAAGGGTCCTAATGCGTATATTAACAGTTCTTTGAATTTAAAAAAAAAAAATGACTTTACTTCTTTTTTGCACGCTGTCAACTCTTCAATTTTTAAATATTACTCTTAATGTGTTGTGATATCGTAGATAGTGAAAACCAATGATTAAACAGTTAATACAACCTAAATTAATAAATGAAATAATCAAAATTAATAATTTGGTTCCAACTTCAAGGCAAAAAAAAAAAAAAAAATTACTAAGCGTTTCAAAATCCTTAGAAAATTTCGTATAGTTAAATCTTGAAATTTAAGAAAGAATCAGTGTGAAAGAATATAGAATCTGACATCTGTCACTCGAGAGAAATGATACTTGACGGGCTTGGCTTACTCGAAATAGAATAAAAAGAACAGTTGCTAACGTAAACAAATGCCACGTTTCAACAACCAATCAGGATAGAGATACC